AATACAAACAAAAAGTCAATCAGATTCTATCAGAATAAAGTAGTAACTGCACCCATTGATTTTAAAAATCAAATAAAATGATAAAATACTAGAATATTTTGACTACTGTACTGTCAAATAAGGGCAAGTCATTGGGTCTAGATGGGTCATGAAGTAGTTTAAAAATATTATTAAAATTACAAACCATCAAATGAAAATTGAAACAAAACTTACCATTTTAAAAAAGTTTACTTTGAAATATTTTCCCTGTGTACATGTATTTAAAAACAAATCTATAAATAAAATTCATCAACTCAAAATTGATTTGATATCAAACTGACTAACTGTAATTGAAGTTAATGACAAAACTTTGATTGACATCTTTGGATTCAGATCATCACCCATGAGACTATGAATACCCTTAACATGGAGGGAAAAAAAACTGCTGTAGAATCAAGGTGAAATAAGTGACTATTTTGTTGTCATACCAAGTCTTAAGCATACTTCTGTTGTAATTGTATGTAATCTTTTAAAGAAAATATCTAATGTGTTCATTTCAATAGTTTGGAGCATGAATAAGCACATAACACAAGGAAATGTATATTCGTTCACCTGAAAATAGCTATTTAGGTGGAGGAGATAAATTTTGTTTAAATGTAAATACAAGAAGTGGAAATGTTTTAACTCTTTGGGCTATTATTACAGTGGTGTATTTTACAACACTCCATTGGCTTAAATACTAAACTCTTGACTGCTCATGTTTTTCGGAAAGAAACAATATGATATACACTTTTAAAGAGCAGTGGCTGAAATCTGTCTGGTTCACTGGGAGTTCATTGGGATATATTTGCAATTTGTGAAGCAAAAAACTGATATTTTATCTTTAGAAGGAGTTACATTTTTTGAGCTTATTGAATTTTTCAAAGATCAGCATGAAGAGTTCTGATTAAATGCTTGCTTCAGCGTTTTAAAGGCTTCTTGTGTCCCTGTTGCCTAAGGAGGTCATACATTACGATTGCTCTGTAAACATCAGATTGTACAGAATTGGCTGTGCATACCATGCAGAGCGCACAAAGAAAGAGTCAAATGGCTTATCTTGCACATATCAACTAGTTTATTTTTCATGCCAAAAAAACTGTATTTTTACAAGAGCAGCTGCTACTTTGTAAATACTTTAATGGCTTCTGTTAAGTAGAGCTGTCAATTTTGCAAACAATATTAAAAGCAGATTTCATTTTACCATGTGATTGCATGTTTTGAAATGCATTTTATCCCTGAAAGTCCTGTGGAGGAGACTTGAGAATGGAAATGGTTTCTGATTTGCAGGCACAGAGCCAATAGAGAATAGGTGTAGTTAAGTAAGTATGCATCATCACTCTATGGGTGTTCATGTTTCCTCCTAATTTACCGGCCCCAAATATTTTCAGGTTGTTCCTCTTTCTTTCATTGTAGTTATAGTGGGAAAAATCATGAGCACCTTTAGTAAGTTTTCTGAGGTGTCCTTAGGTTCAGGTTTTATTTCAGTAATGCCCCCTCCAACCAAAAATACCAATGATACAAAAATCAGCTTCACCACCAATCAATAACATCATAGCTACAAGTTACTATTGAAATGGACTCTTCAGTATTTTCTAATGAATTTGGTCATCACTAAGAAGTGCCAGAATGTCACCACAGCAAGAGAGCACATACAAAAATTTCCTTGCTGTCCTGCTGGCTTTCCCTAAGCTTGCTCTGAAAGGGCCACCATCACAAGGAAGAGCAATTACTCATACCCAGTCCATCCTTGACTCTGTTTTATACTACTAGCTGTGGTATTACTCAATGCAACTTGAGATGCTGGTTCTATGCTTATTACAGTACCATGGCTACTCGCCCACTTCATGCTTGACAAAATTACAACTCTATGGGTGCATCTACACATGCATTTAAGCATGGCTAAATTTAATGTGCATTAAGTGATTTTTGGCAGGTGTCTACACATGCAGGGACCTGGGACTAAAGTTAGGTTTAAGTCCCTGCAACCCTGCCATGTGACCCTGTGGCCACTGGGGGGAGCTCCAGCCTCTGGCCACATGGCTCCCAGAGCCAGCTTCCAGCACTTGGCAGTCATTTTGGAAACTTTGATCCCTGGCCAGCCCATTCTCCACTCAGAAGCCGCATGCCCTGGGCAGGGGCACCACACAGCAAATCCCTCCTTGTCTGCCCTGCCTCCCTGCACCAGGGCTGCTCCTGCCCCTGCCAGTGATGCCCAGAGCTCTGCTGCTCCAGCCCAGCCCCTGCCAGCGATGACCAGCCCCCCATGCTCCTGCTGGTGATGGTGCTGGCCCTGCTGGCCCCAGGAGAGCCATGCACCCACCAGTGGGGACCAGGGCACTGGCTGTGGGAGACCCTGCCCAACCCCCTCCTCCTACAGTCCCCACTCCAGCCCACCTGCCCTGTCGCCCACATACCCCCCATCCCCTGCCCACCCCCAGAACCACTCTC